CTGGGCTCTGGCAGGAGCTGGTTGCTTTTGTGGCACCGACGGGCGGAACGGAAACCGAGGGAGCCGTTTCAGTGAAATTGGCTTTATCAAGGAATGTGTCCTCTGAAGGGGAAAACTGAGGGCAGTTTCAGGGGAGAGGAGTGTAAAGCGCTTCCCCCTGCCCCCCCTCCTGGGAGAAGCGAATGAATTATTAAGGGGATTTATCCCCTCCTCCTCTCCCCAGTGTCTGTTCCCCCACCCCAAGGTACAAACCCTCATATAGGGAAAAACAAGAAGAAAACCGAACAGGAGCCGTGATGCTGCGGCTCGTCTCGCCAAGGTCACATCAGTTACAGCTGGAAAAATTATTTGCCTTAACCAGAGATTTTTACCTGCTGTGGGAGGGCTGGAAAAGCCCCACGAGCTGATCTGCTACAGTCGTCCCAGTGCCCAGGACGCTGCTGGGCCCATGGGGGAGCCGGACCCGCGACAGGGCGTCCCACCACCGCAGCCAGGTCCCTGCCTCCGAGCGCAGTTTTCTGCGCCCTTACACTGTGGGCCACGCCTCTGCCCTCCAGCAGTGTTTTGGGGTGAGACCCCAGGCATTTGGGAGGCGGGTCCTGGGCAGAGCACCCACCTCCGTCCTGCCGGGATCAAAATAATTTGGGGTTTCCCTGAAACCTATCCTGGAAATAAAACCCAGCACGAACCACCCCTGTGGGAAAAGCCTTTACCCCAAGGCAGCTGGGAAAACAAAGGGCACGTTTCCCACGGGAAGAGCAGCGAGGGCAGGTGGCCCAGATCCAGTGGGATTTCCAGCCCATGGCCCGGCCAGCTCCGTCCCCGCCCCTGCTCCTCCCCGCAGGTTTGAAGCTGGTGGAAATCTGGTGAGAAATCACACGGATTCGCTTGGTCGTCTCCTCCTCAGCCTCCTGCACAGGAGGGAGACCGGGAGCATCCCCTGAGCCGGCGACGCCCGTGAGCGCCTTAGGGAAATGGCCCCTAAATTTCCTCCTCGCAGGACCCCAGGGCAGGGACGGGAAGGTTTGCAATCCCACCGCCGGCTCGGCTGCTGTTGCCGTTGCACAACTCGTCCCGCGATGGCTTTCAGCACCACCCCAGGGCCACCATTCCAGACCAGCTCATCTGCCCCTTGCTCCTGCTCCCTCAGGAAATGCAAGCCTGGAGAGATGCTCGTTTTCGGGGTGCCCGGGGCCACGGAACAGCACTGCTGCTGCTGCAAGCGCCGTCCCGGTCCCAGCACCGGCAAAGCAGGCACAGAGACTCTCTCAAGTTAAACTCTCCATTTATTGGATCCTTTTACAAAAAAACTCAACATTGTGCTCGTGTTGAAGGAGTGTTTCTTCTCTCTCGTTTCTTGTTTTTGTTTTTTGTTTAAACCTGGTGCTCACGGAGCAGTTAGCACAACCGCGGCGCAGGGGAGGGCAGGGGCTGTGCCGTGCGACACGAACGGCACATGGGGGGGTCCGTGTCGCCGCAGACGATGCCATTTACAGCGAGCGTGAGAAAAACCTCGCTCCGCACCCGGCACCCGCCGGCTGCAACCCCCGGTCCTGGGTGAAGCGGCAGAAATATGGGAAAAGGGAAAAGGCCTTTCCCTTGGGAAAGGTGCTGCCGCCCAGAGACCTTTCCCTCTGGGAGACCCCAGGCTGCTCTGTGCTGGAGCTGGGACGAATCGAACAACCTAACCTGAGCTTCAGAGTCACCCCGGGACGCCCTGGAAATGACGGGAGAGCGGAGGGCAGCGGCGGCGGACGACTGGGACGGTGGCGCAGGCTGGGCCGCTCTCCTGAAACGCCCCTCTCCTCCCCGACGGTGGAGGAAAGCCTGAGGGCAGCTCAGATCCCGGCGTGTCTCGGGAGCAGAAAGTCGGGGTGTGAGTCACAAGTCTGTACTCCGTTTTGGTGCCTATTTGGGAAGATCTGGGAAAGAGGCACAGCAGCAGAGGACCGAGAGGGACAGCCCCAGCCTGCGGGTGGGGAAGGAGATGCTCTCACTGGCATTTAGTTTCCCCACGGCACCCCTGTCCCTCCCAACACCGCCGCTGCCGCCCAGCATGTCCCCCCGCATCAGCGACTCACAGCACCCCTTTACCCCTTCACCCCCAAATCCTCCCCCTTTGGGGGGTCTTGGCACAGAGGAAACCATCCCACGACTGGCGAGGCGATTCGGTCACGCAGCCTCTCCCCGCTCAGCCGCGAGGCTCCGAGCCTGACCCCTGGCTACCGCCGCCCCGGGGATCCTCCGCATTTTCTTTTGGGCAAGAGTTGAGCATCTTAAGAGCCTGGGAAGAAGAATAATTTGCATTTCCACCGCTGATCTTTACATCTCTACCAGCCTTGAGATGAAACGCACCAACAGAAAGGAAGAAACTCCCAACCTCGGGCTTGCTGCCAGCTCCGACCGCAGCCAAGCAACGAGGCTCCAGCAAACCCCAACCCCCCGGCGCGAACGGCACGTCCCCGTGTTCCAAGCTCCCTCTATTACAGGCTCTCACCAGAATACTAAAATTCTGTTTTACATTTTCAAAGGTTTAGGTATTTTCAAAGGTTTTTTGAAAATAAGTTGCCGAGAAGTGTTTCTCTATTTGTTTAAAGTGCAATCCACAGCTGCCGGCACCCGCCCGTACTCCCGTTTGGCTCCTGCAGAGGGGTGGGAGAGGCAGAGCTGCCTCCCCCCTTGGCTGACACCAGGGACCTGTGCTGTCCGTGAGTGACTGCATTGCTGCTAACGAAGCACCTCTTAACAAGGGAGGAATTAAAGCCAGCGGCAGGAGTGTCAGGGCCCTTGGGGATGCTGAAGCTGGTGCAGCTGCTGCTCAGTGCCATGTTTCCACCCCAAGCAGGGGCAGAAAATGTCCTTCCAGGTGTTTCGAGGCCTCGCAGGTGTCTCCAATCACACTTTTAAAGAGACGGTGAGCCTCCACATGCTCTGTTTTGAGCACTGGATGTTAAAACAAAAAGAGAGTGGAAAGGAAAAAAAACCATACGGAGAGGAGAAGATCCCTTGGTCCGTATTTTGCTGCCGTCTGTAGCGCTGGTGAAGGCACGAGCCGTCGGCTCTGCTGGGGATGGGCTGCCCCTTCCCTTCCCCTCGCCAAGGAGCAAGTGTTGGTGACCGCCAGCCACGGGGCCGACATGAAAAATGGCTGAAACGTGGCTGGAGAGGCCACTTGGAATGGAGAGGCCACTTGACACCCCGACGCGAGGTGCAGGCTGCAGGACAGGAGCGTGCACGGGGCTGACCTTGCGAGTGAGCCCAGGAGCTGCTGACGGACCATGTCCGCTCCTGCTCTGGGACACACCAGAGGCACAACCGGGTGGTACCATCCTGTTGCTGCAGGGCGCCGAGATGCTGAGCTGCAACCTCGGTGGAGTTGGGCCAGGAAAACTGGGGACACTGAGGCGAATCACGCAAGTTTCACCTTCACCCAGCAAGAGCTTCTCCAGGCTGCCCTTAAACATCTAGAATGCCTTGAGGGAGAACATCACTCGGGAGAGGGCAACCCATGTCCTTCCCACCTCTTGCGGGTCGGGATTGAAGCAGCACGGAGCGGCGAGTCAAGCCCAGAGGTTGAGCGATCACACGGACCCAACGGTGTTTCGCTTTGGTGGCAGAGAAACCAGCTCCAGAAACAGCCCCGTGAACGCCATCCCAGCGGCACCACGCCAAGGAAAGCTCTCGGTGGGATTAACCTTCGAACGCAGCCCAGGGCCAGGGCATGAGGGTGGAGGGGATGGAGGTTTAAGGCAGTTATGCTGAGGCCCACAGGCACACCCGATGTGGGCACGTTTTGCTCTGGGGTGAGAGACGAGGGACGAGGCAGAGCGGGGACTCCGGCCCACGGTGCAGCCCCGGCTCCGGCACACGCAGGCTGGGCTGGCGCTTGGCTTCGGCCCCGCTTGGCTGCGCACGGAGGGTTAGTGTCTTCTCCTTCCTCCACCCTGCAACTTGCGAAGCGACCTCAAGAGAAGGCCCTGATACCCCGACTCCCATCGCGCCGGCACCGAGAGCTGAACTACCGCCCGCTCCCCCGGCAGGGCCCGGGCAGCGGGAAGAGCTGTCTCTCGGCAGACTGCCTCTGCACTTGGATGCTTTCGGGAAAGAGGTTTATTTTATCAGCAAAGGCTCCTGTAGCTGATCTCGGGGTGCTACTGGAGCAGATCTGCAGGGCCACTGAATGGCAGGAGGAAAAGTCCCAAAGCGCTTGTGAAAAGGCCAGGCCAGACTCAGAGACTCCCCGCAGCTGTAGAGAACGGCGGGCCAAGGCAGCCCGCTCG